GGGGGTACATTTTATGCAGGTATAAAAAGTATCCGGATACTTTTTGGTAGGGGGGTACTTTTTATGCATGACCTTCAAACTCTAACTTAGCCGCCTCAGGTCATTTGAAATCATCCCAGCCCAGGAATCTACTTCATAGGCAATGCATATATATAGTCAACATTGACAGATGCTGATTAATTTGTTATCCCTGTATACAGAGTTTGACTTTAAGTAATTCTAGTATTATACATTTATCTGCTTCTATGCCCTGTAAGTTTTGTGAATATTTCTCTATGTTTCAGATAGCAGCTAACTTATATCAGAAGTTTCAGGAAAAAACCCAGCTCCGAAATGATTGAAAATCATCAAGATAGAATTTGAAACATCACCCTCTAGAATTTGAAGATGGACTGAGCACAGTTTGTGAAGATGTGACGCATAGACGAGACGGCATAGAAAATCAGTTACGATGCCAGTCTTACCATACACTTGTGTCTATATTGGTGAATATTAACTACATTTACTTGCCCTCTCTTCGTCAAAACGTCTCTGGTGTTACACAATTAAGCTTACCACTATAGTCCGAAGTGCTGTCACTGAGGGATTACTTCCCTTTGGTATGTCCCCCAAAAGATTGATTTAAGGATTCTATTTTTTTTTCATTTCGTTTAATGCTAAAGTATGTAGACATCCTCGAAATGTCAAGGTTTCATTCGATCACTAACGTTCTCTGCTCCCTTGGTAAAGGTCGTGACGAAATAATAGGCTCTGTATGCACCAACTTGTGGATTATGTATAGACTAATCTGGTCTTTGATGTATTCCGTCTTTGCGTATTGCAGAGTTATCTTTTCTTGAGAGCAGGAATTGATTGTTACGTCATTGGTTTGTGTGAGAAAATTACGTCTTTTTCTAAAAAAAATTGATGACTTTCTCTCACAAACAAATGACGTAACAATCAATACCTGCTCACAAGAGAAGATAACTCTGCAATACGCAAAGATGGGATACATTAAAAGAATAGCGCAGCAGCCTAACAGTAAAACTAACAGGAAGTCATGTGTAGCTCTTCTGTTATCTTCAAAGGACAGGTACAGTGTATCAGCCTTAGCGATTCATCAGTTAGTTTTTCCTGAAACCAATCAAATAGCTAGCTGTATGGCATCAATTTTGTCATGACATATCCCAGGGGTGCAGAGAACATATATAAAAGTGAGCGTAACCCCAAGAATTTCGAAGATGGTAAACAATTGTTTTTTTTGAGATTATTTTATGTTTTCCTATAGATAAAGTTAAATTACAATAAAAATTATATTTGAAAAGAAAAACGACTGAATAAACAGTATTTCATTTCAAAGTGTATTCACGACATTGACATGCACCACCACAAAGGGGGGTTACATTTGTCCACACACCTCTTGTCAATGAGATTTAGATGTTTCCACTATCAGCTCATGCAAAAATTCATAAATTCATTATGATTTTTATTAATTTAAAAAAATGTTTTTCCCCTTGCTAGAAAAAACTGTCTCAGATGTGCTATCATTTTTCAAAGTTTTAATTGAAAAGCATTGTTGGGTTTAAGCAAAACCATTTTCATTCATTTAAGCATTGGTTTCTATGGAAATCTCTGAGCGGAGGTCAGTTTAATTTTAAACTTTAAATTTTAAATTTAAAGAGGTAAATTTAAATTTTGGAGGAACTGGGGCCAGGATTTGCTAATGTCAAATTGGTTCTCCTATAAAATGTAAAAAGAATATTTGGTAGCTTCATTCCATTTTGGTATTAAAATTCCAAAAGTCTTTAAGTAAACATGTACATGTATAGTCTTTTCACAGACGGCCTGAATACACAAATATAGGTTACTTAGCAGGTGTCTCTGTATACAACAAAATATGGCGATAAATTATTCATTATTTGGGTGGATTAATTGAATTCGTTTCTGTATAAGCACATAAGCAGATTATTTTTGATGACCTACATTGTAGCCATGCTAGCGCACCAACACTCTATGTATATACACATGTATAGTTAATCAATAGTGTTTACACTTTTGATCAATATTTACAGGGGAATACACACAGGTCCCAGATCAGCTTTTAAGGTCACATGAGACAAAGTCTCAAGTGACCTATTGCGATCGTCTTTTGTCCGGCGTCGTCCGGCGTGAGTCTGTAAACAATTTACATTTTCGACTTCTTCTCCAAAACCCCTGAACCAATTTTAATGAAATTTTGCAGAAACCTTCCATGGCTAAAGGTCAACAAAAACAGTGGCCGGTTTGGTCCCTGGCTCCCAGGGGCCTGAGGGGCGGGGCAAAAAAGGGTCAAATTGCCTGAAATTTCAAAAAAAATCTTATCAAGACCCAGATATGGTAGAATCAAATATTCTTTTTAGATGGAAGAGTCTTAATGTGCTTTATCAAAATTGTTAAATTCTTGACCCTGGGGAGGGGGTAAACTTTACTAAACATAAAAATGACACTGATTCAATTGTACTTATTGACATGCAATAGCCCTATGAAAGCAATTGTGCCCAATCGTTGACTTCATCATTCTTAAAATGTCTCAATCATAATATTGAATGACACTGATCTTCCCTGGAAGGTATATCATATTTAATCAACCATACATTGTATGTTATAAATACACACATTTTATCTCAATGCCAAGTTAAATGATAAAACTAATTAATTTCCTATAAATTAAAGTATTCTAAAAATGTTAAGCTGAATTTTTTGGTTTGGAACCTTCTTAATCAGTGAGTTGACATTCACCATCAATAATAATGGGAAAGTACCTGTTAATCTATTGAAAACTATTAATATTAGAGTTACAAAAATGGAAAATATTTCCCAGAACTCCTTAAGAATTTACACACTACTAATTGTAAGTGAAACGCAATCCACAAAAGTCCAAGATTTATGAACTTTATCTCTGATACAATCAGTACTTAAGTTCATTTGGACTTTATTTCTAAATATGATCTTTCAGACGCAGACTGGCGTGACCTGCTTTTCAGTGCCTCACAATGTATCAACCGTACAGCAAACAGGGAGCCAATAGTAAAGGAGCTACAGGCAATGTGGTCAAATCCAACCAATCAGAACTCGGTGTTGCCCTGCCTCTCTGTCAGATCTGGCCTTGACCTATACCTGAAGGTCAAGGACTATCCTCCAGGTTCAGAGGTCATCATGTCTGCTATCAACATTCCAGACATGGTGTATATTGTCAAACACCACAAGCTCAAGGTTTGTTTTTTATTTGTTCTTTTATAATTTTGGCAAAGTAAATTATACATATTTCAACCACAATATGCTGTGTTATTCCACTCTCAGATCATTGTATACACATGCAGACTGTTGAATAGATATGAGTTATACACCACACCTGGTATATGACCTTTCGTAGTTTTGATTGGTCGAGAAGATGAACCTTGACTTGACAACTTTTTTCATACGCTTTTTGTCGCATGCTGTTTTGTTTATGTAGTCTGCTGTCAACATTCGTCAAATGTTGGTGACTTTAGTGAGGTTGCGATGGGAAAAGGGGGTTATTAAGGCAATACCAAAAGAAGATGATGCTTAAAGAATTGGTCGCTAGTTTCCGACAAAATTGCTACAGGCGATCGATATATTGTCAAACACCACAAGCTCAAGGAAAAAAATACTTATATATTTGTAACAGGAAAGAGAATAGTGTGCTTGCACTGGGGATTGAACCCTCTCTCCAGGTTCCTAGTCGGACACTCTACCACAGAGCTTAAGAGAAATTCCCTCTAGATCGAAGCTAGAAGGCGACCTTAATCTTATGTACAATTAAAACCTGACACACTACTCCCCCCTTTTCAAATGTGTTAAAAATGTGGATCCCTTGTGTCAACTTTACAGACAACATTTAATGGTTACACTTCTTCACACAGAAAGATATGGGTCCCATTCTCAAAGTCATCGAAGCATGTATTTTTCAGAAAATGTGTTTTCCTCCTGCCTCTTATAACACAAGTGAAGTGTAAAATGGTGTGGGCTGGGTGCTATGATGTCTATGTTGCATTATAGAAGTGAAATGACAATATATAATTTGGCAATATGATATATGTCGTTGGAAGTTCCCACCACAATAAAGACCAGTAAAACATGAATCTTTCGAAAAAAATATAGGCATGCATGACCTAGACCATAAAACATATTCTGACCAAACAGCTTAACGTTATGCACTCAGGGCAGTGGAATCTGTAACAAGAAAATAGTTCATCTTTACAACATGTTCATAATCAGTCAAATATAACCTATTGCATTGAGGTCCCCTATTGATTCTTTAAAAAATGTTATTTTATCACTTATACACTTGTAAGGTACTACAGTAATAAATACCTACAGATTTGGTTTCCTCACTAAATGACTAAGGTATATACTAATTCGAGTATTGATAAATTTTAATTAATTGTGCTTTATAATTAAGTTTTTATCTGTTATTGAAAGATCAGTTCAGTTAATATTATCTCAAATACTATATGGATCTGCTTGTTAACATTTTCAAAAATGTGAAACTTAGGAAATTTAAAAAGTCAAAAAAAGTATATATATATTTATATCAACAACATATGTGCTTGAGTTCAAATAGGTAAGTTTTACAGGTAGATTCACTTGTTGAAACTCTGACACTTTTTAAGAAAAAGACTATAACCCCTATCTAAACAAGTTGCCATATAGGTAAATTAAAAATGTTGGCACTCAGAGATACACCCCTTGCATCGACCTTTAGGTGGAATGTTCATGTCAAAGAATGCAATTTTACTTCAGGTACATGACCAGCTGTTCATTTTTCAGTTTAATGAGTACATATTCACAGTACGGCTAAAAACAACCATAATAAAGTGCCCTCCTATTACAGGTGGTCTCTTAATTAAGTCCCTGAAATGAATTGGGGGACTTACTGTGCTTGCTGCATTTCTTACTATTTTTATTTTTCTTCATACTTTTTCTCATTATTTTCATCTGCCAAACAGTTTCTAGACTATTCCCAATCAATCATCAAACATGGCCGCAGTGGCCTACGATTGATTCACATATTTATCGGTGTACACCAAGGAGTTGTTAATGGTCCCCCTCTTTTGTCCGATTTTGCTCAATCTAATTAAAATTATATCTTCACATCGCTCCCGTTTACTGATATGTCGCGTTGAACGACACGTTCAATGCGACATATCAGTAAACGGGAGCGATGTGAAGATATAATTTTAATTAGATTGGATTTTGCTCTGATTTTAATAGTATGGGTATTTGTGCAAATTATTTCCCCTGCATCATCACCAGCAACAAATCCTTTCAACAGATGCGTCATTTACGACTATAGCCCCGGAAAGTTTGGGAACTTATGGAACAGTCCCTGTTATAATTAGAAGTTGTTCAGGTTCATGTTACACAAAAAAAAAAAACGGCAAAAGTTTAGTTTTTTGAAAGTGGATTTTATTGAAGGCAGTATTATACTACAAGTTCACTTTAAAATGAATATAACAACAATGGAGAAATTTGAATAATAGTCTCAACACACAGATGGTCTCTTAATATTGGTCTCTTGAGCAGGTTTGACTGTGATTATAATAATTGGCATCTATACTCATTGAAAGCTACAATTGACAATATAAGGAAACTATATGTTCACTATATAGAACCACAATAATCATCTTTCAAACAACGGAAAAAAATAATAAATTTTGAAAGACAGCTTTAGGTAAAACTTTGCTTTAGTTGACTTTGGTAAGGTTATTGGACAGAGTAACTGGGCCTAGATGTGCTAATGCATGTACTGTACAGGTGAAAAGTTGGCAAAATTTGAGATTCATTATTTGGCGCGATCTAGCTGGTTCAGACACAAACTGTATTAATTTATAATGGGTACAGCTGTATGCTTGCCGAGTACTATATATAGACTGAGGCCATTATGAAATGTCAATAGAGCAGTGTTCAGCTTCATTGATAGTCGAGTTATGTTGTGAAAATGTTCAATTATTCGCTACATTAACCTTCCTGTCCTGACTGATGCAATAAACCATAGCTGAATCAATATCAATGTAGACACATCGCATAAAAAGTTGATACCGTGTACCTGATAAATGTTTTCAAACATGATTTGCAATCGGCTCCTTATAACAGTTCAACAGACCCAAAGGGCCCGCACAGCCTTGGCATATGGCAAATAGTTTTGGGTTGTCTGGTGGTGTTGCTGCAATTATTTGATTTAAATGAATCGATATCTGGTTGTTTAATGCCGATCACAACTATTTACTTGTTTTCTTTCCAGTAGAGATGTTCCCATTAAAATTAGAATTAAATTAAGCAAAGTAGTCTCAGAATTAAAACTTGACACACTAGTACTTAGACAATTCAATTATACTGTCTTCTTATAAATCTGCTGGAATTTGTAAAGACCTTGACCATGAAAATTTTACTTAGTATTTAGTGCTTTATAATGTGAAGTTAAGAAATATTTAATAATAAAAGAAGAAATGTAATTTTACAGAACTCCTTTTTTTTCTCTCTCACTACCCATCATTGAATCATACACACCATAGGAAATAACTTCCTAGACAACTTGGTCTATAAAGTAAACGATTCCCATAGATCTACAGTGTTTTTCATGATAATTGTCTATGGGTAGTTATTTTGACAATGCCCAGTCATTTTACGTCTGATTATGACTAATCAATTGATCATGACAACAAACTAGAAGATTGATAACGTCTGATAATTTTTCCATTCAAACTGTATTTCTCTGTTTATCGATTTAAGTTACTGAGTATTAAAAAAGTTTGTTTCCAGCTGCACGAAACATTAAGGGTATATAGGAAGGTACATTGTAGGTAACTTAGGTGAACATTTTGAGTGGATTTAAAAACAACACATGTAGGAAATGTAGATTTATATAGATATGTATACATGAAGTGTGGCAGGTATTCAACCAAAATTAAATACACATGTGTATTACCTGTACATGTATGTACTTGAAGAAGTGTCAATAAGCCTTAAACATAATCATTTTGTTTATTCAGGTTTGACAACATTTAAGTATGTTAAAATACATGAACCTAGTCATAGATAAAATAGAACAGGCAATAATAAACAGTATATTGATTCTAGGATCCCTGTCCCACTGCACTGTGGTAGTTTCGTATGTACTCTCGTAAACCTCCCCTTAAATACGATGTTGGATATACCTGTAGGACAGTTTGACTTGGGCACTTATATGTTGACTAGGTATAGCTCAGTCGGTTAGATATCAGGGTACAGTATCACAGTCCTCGGCCCTTATTCATGAAAACATTCTCATGCTCAAGCACGGATTTTGTGCTCAAACCAACTTTCTTAAAACTTGCTTAAATCATATCAAATGATTTAAAAGTCAAATGTAAACAGTTTTCGGCCACTCTTAAATGTTTTTAAAATCATTGACAACATATGATTTTTTTTTCAATTTAGAAAGAGAACAAGAAATTCAGCTTTCAAAAGCACAATATCCACACTTAAGCATGAGAACAGTTTCATGAATATGGGTCCAGGGTTCAAATCCCAGTCTAGTTAATCCTGCTGATCTTTTACACTCAGACCACTGTTTGTTGAACATGTTTTGTTTTACACTCAGACCACTGTTTGTTGATCATGTTTTGTTTTACACTCTGACCACTGTTTGTTGATTATATTTTGTTTAATTTCATTATTTTCCATAAAAGTCCTACAAGTTATTGCGTTTTTTTAAGAAATGATTTATCAAAACTATAGTTTATGCTGGAAAAACAGTTCTCCATACATAGTCCCAGTTTTAAAATGATACATATAGTATATAGTCTCAGTTAAAGAATAAGTTCCCAGTTTTTAGGTCACCTGAGACAAAGTCTCAAGTGATCGCCTTTTGTTCGTCGTCGTCCGTCCTCCGTCGTGCATCCGTAAACAATTTACATTTTCGACTTCTTTTCCAAAACCAATGAACCAATTTCAATGAAATTTTGCAGGAACTTTCCATGGACAAAGGTCAATAAAATTTGTTGCCGGTTTACTCCTAAGCCCCGAGGGGCCTGAGGGGCTGGGCCAAAAAGGGTCAAATTGACTAAAATTTCAAAAATCTTCTTCTCAAGACCCAGATATGGTAGAGTCAAATACTCTTCATAGATGGAAGGATCTTAAGGTGCTTTACCAAAATTGTGAATTTCTTGACCCTGGGGTCTCACGTTTCCCCCTGGGGAGGGGGTAAACTTTACTATAGTTTATATAGGGAAATCACATTTTGGACCAACATTTGTTTAATTTCCATTGGAAGTAATTCAACTTAGGTTAGCATTATCAGTATTAGGTAGCAGTTTGATAGTATGCACAAATCAGCCCTGACTGACCCCCGGGGGGGTGGGGGTGGGGGGGGGGGCGGCAAAATTTATTATGGTTTATAATTGCAAATGATACTTTGAATATTACATTTTGAGCCAGCCCTACCCCCAAGGGCTGTAGGGTGGGGCCCAAAGGAGTCAGTGTGCTAAAATTTCTTCATTTTCCTTGTTTAGAATCAGAGGTGCTAGTTTCAAATTCTTTTTATTCTTAAATCTGTATGCTAGATATTGAATAAGGTGGTTTTATTGTTTTTTGTCACTTTGAATAATAATTCTGTTCATGTTAAAAACAAAATCAACTCTCTGTATAAATATATCAGGTGACCGGTAAGGCCCATGTGCCTCTTGTTTAATTAAGTTCCCAAATGCATAAGGATCATATAATGTAAAAACATAAACAAATCATTGGTCTGTTATTTAAACTTCAGTTTCACAGATTTCACAACACAACACGCACACAACTTTATTTAGGTATATTCAATATAACCTCAAAATAATCTTGGGTATTCCTTAAATAAAAGCGAAAATAAAAACGCAATTAAGAACATTTTGTCTTGTCTGTTGAAGGTTGTCCCCTTTGATGTGAGTATAGAAACAACTGGGCCTAAAGTTGAACTCCTCGAATCTCTGATCACCGACAAAACTGTTGCCATCCTCATCGCTCACATCTACGGCAAATGGTGCGACATTGAAGCTATTATCGACATCGCTCAACGGAAAAACATTTATGTCATCGAGGATTGTGCTGAGTGTTTTTGCGGTTTTGAGAGGACTGGAAACCCTAGAAGTGATCTTGCACTTTTCAGTTTTGGCGTCATCAAATATTCAACAGCGTTTGGAGGTGCTATTGCAAAAATCAAAGATCAGAAATTATATGCACAGATGAGAGAAACTTATTTGAAATATCCTATACAGAAACATTCTGAATATCTGAAAAAAATTCTGAAATATTCTGGGGTCTATATTCTCCTAGATTGTCCGTCGATCATCAAACCATTAATGGTATTGACAAGAACCTTAAGCATTGACCACAAAAAGGTTGTGATCAAACTTCTCCGGGGTTTCCCCGATCGGATGATAGAAAGAATACGAGCACAACCATCAAACGCCCTACTTGCCACAATGAAACGGAGGCTGGATAATTTTGATCAGACAGACTTCAACGCCTCACAAGTAAAGGCAGAGTATGTGAAAGAGAGGCTACCAGAGGAAGTCACGATGGTGGGGATGCAGGCAGAAGTCAATAACTACTGGCTTTTCCCAATATTGATGGTAAGTTGACATGAAAATGCTATTTTCAGATGTTTAATATCAATAACATATATATAAATGTTGATGTTTATTTTCATGTTAATTTTTAATGGTCATCTTACAGAAACCTGGTAAAACATCTAGTGATCGACATACAGAATAAATATTTAAACCAATAAGTTGCCATATCCTTTGCTACAGGCAAACAAAATTCAACGTATATAATTGAACAATGAAATTATACGATTCACAATTCAAATTCCCAATTGAAAGCGTGAAGAAATTATTGTCTATATATACACACAGACTAGCTGATAAACAGGAGTATGACTCAGGCTACAAATATACAGAATATTCATTCCAGAAAGTATTTGTGAAATCCATGGGTTTATGCTCTCGGATATACATATATCTTCTCTTGACTCTGGTTTTCTCATGACGAGAGTGAAGGGACAAGTGATTCCAGCTATACCGGTAAATTCTGACCAATCACAAGGCTTGTAGACAATGGTACCTGAACTTTGAAGAGTATTCAAAGAGCTACTCCAAGATAAATGCAGGTCAATTTTAACATTACACTGCTACACAATTTACTTTTATGTTCAAGTACATTATTATTTGTAGAATTCCTTAATGCTACCAGACTGTACATGGACAAAAATCCAAAGTTGCATAGCAGACACAGGATATCAAAAGCAGAACTATATAAACACTATATCATAACAATGATAAATCAAGGTTTTTATATACCGCTTTATCACAACCTAGTTCGTAGTTCGTCTCAAAGCGGTTCACAAATTATTATCTGTGGATATAGGGCCATGCAACCAGCCAACATCTTTCTCAACTTCCTGGGGAGCATACAGCCGGTGCTGCCATTTAGGCACTCACAGCTAGCATTCAACAATTCTAGCACTGCCCAACAACATACTAATTTACAGCTGAGTAGACTGGTACAATCGGAGTGAAGTTAATCCTGCTCAAGGATGCAACACAATAATGTGACATGACTCAAACCCGCAAACCTTCGGTCAAGAGCCCGGCGTCCTACCACTAGACTACCAAGCCTTCTATAAACACGACCCTTAAATTATATTTAACAAGGATTTCTGTTAACTCTTGACATATATCAATTTCAGAAGTCGAATCCCATTTCCCCGAATTTTGAAGGGTCGAAAGAGTCATGTCAAGTACATGTGTCTTTTAAAATTACTTAAAAGCCAAATCTTATTTTGGGGAGATAAAATATACCCTCGCTCAAAGGTCCATAATAATTAAAGCCATACACTCAACCTTGTACAGTCCTATTTTTCATATTTGCTTGCTTTCTTTCTCTCCAGGATAATCCCGACACAGTTGTTAAAATACTGAATGCCATGGGGATAGATGCTTACCGTGGAGCTACGCAGCTAAATCTCATCGAACCAGAAAACTGTAGTGTCGAGCTTCACAATCAACACGCTACATCTGCCAGCAGCTTCGACGACATGCACAAAGACGGGAACCAGAACTATCCCTATGAGGCCTTGAACAGAAGCTATCCTCATGAGGCGCGCTACCTCATCAATCACGTTGTCTACCTGCCTGTGAACAAGTCCGTCCCATTCCACGTCCTCGATCAAATCTGCAAATGTGTACAGCTGGCTATTCGCCTCAGCAAAAATGGACGCTCGCCTGATGTCCGTCTTCACGCAAAGTTATAATGATTGTGTGATGTTAGCAAAATGTTATTGTATTTAGATGTGAAAATGAACTTAAATGCACACACTCATATGGTGTAGGAGTTTGATAACTAAATCATATTTCTAACTAAATTTGTTTTTATTCAAATTTTTAAATTCTAGAAACAAGTCACTGATTTGAAGTTTAATAGGTTATGCTATCATAGAAAAGAGGTTTCAAAAATATTTTTGATATTTTTTGTAAGATTTTTTAAGGCATTTCTTCCCACCAGCTATATCTAAAAACGTTTTTACAAATTCTTCAACATTATATTAAAGGTATCAGTTTTATTTGGTGAGAAAAGAAGTACATGAAGGATGCTATCAGGCTGATTAAATTTTCATTTTTTAAAACGTCAAAACATGCCAAAATCATATTGCTGAAAATTGTAACAGAATGCTATCTATATGGTTAAATTAATTAGTCCCCAATTTGTACGGGCTATAAATTATGGCTTACACCCCCATCTGTAGTCAGTCAAGGTGTCACACTACATAGTATGGTATGGGGCATATCTCATGTACTCTTACACAATTGCCAAATGTTGCAAATGGGTATACAAATCTCTATGGAAGCTGTAGTGTCACATACTTAAATCAGGTTTCATGCCAAGAGTTATGGTTCTTTGTATAATTTAGATGACAATATTTGTCTTGAGGTTAAGGACTATTTGAATTATTTGTATTATTTTACCTTGAATATGACATGATATAAGGCATTGGTGATTCCAATTGTGTTATTTTAATCAGGACATTCCATCCAATATTTAAGATCTAGATTTAGTATATATGTTTTTATTTACATTTTATATACAATTGTTTTACTTAAAACTTTTAATTGGTGTTGGCAATGTTTGTATTTTTTCAAGATTATTAATATGTTACTCAGAAAACCATTATAAATGGAAATGTTTTATATATAATAACTTAGTTTTTAAAATCAATGTTGTTGAAAATATATTTTTAAGAGAAAGATTATAAATTATAAAAAATTGAGTTATATATTTTATATAGTTATAAGCTTTGCCTAAATCATAATACATATGTACATAGATTTTTAAACCAAGGAAAAATATACCAGTATTGACTGAGGATGTATTCTGAAGTCAGAATAATATATTGGAGTTTTAATTATGAACCCTTGTATTGATTAAAGCTAAAAGCTGCAATTGATTAATTAATTTTAAAAGGTGGATGACTGGTTTTTGTAGGTCGAATGTATATTTGATTGCAACACTACATGTAGTTCTATTTTTAGAAACAACCAGTTCATAAATAGCAATATTGTCTATGAGACCGAACATTTTAAGTCAATGCCGTTCTTATAAACTGCCATGTGACTGTCAGCATATCACAGAAAAAATTTAACATATGTAAATATACTTTGTTATCAGAAATTGTATAATCATTACAACATTCCACGATGTTGACAGAAGAAACATTCAAATGCTCCTTTCATTGCTGTTGTTACAGTTAACAGTGATTTCCAGTGAAAGGTATATTACACGCTATATTAAAGTTGTATGCTACATTTCAAATATGTCATCAATTTCTGTGTACATTTCAAATGTGTCATCAATTCCTGTGTACATTTCAAATGTGTCATCAATTCCTTTGTACAATGTACATTTCAAATGTGTCATCACTTACTGTGTACCTTTTAAATGTGTCATTAGTTCCCGTGAACCTTTAAAATGTGTTAGTAATTTTTATTTGGCCTTCAAACATATCATCAGTTCTCGCATACCTTTCAAATGTGCCATCAGTTCTTTTGTACTTTTCAGATGTGTCATTATTTGTGTGTACTTTCAAATGTTTATCAGTTTAATATTTGATGATGACATCACAATCAAATTATTGTGATCTGTTCATTGAAAAAGTAGTCTCAAATTTACCAAATTGTTTTTACTGAAGCCCCAAAAATCACTAATATGTAATAAATTAATTAATGAGGACCTACTTAATTAATTGTAAGTAAAACTTTGATTAAGGGGAAGCAACCTGTACTTAATTTCAACTATGGATTCTCATTTACAGATGTATTTCTAAAATAACTTGTATATATTTTTATCATATATAAGATATAATGTTTTAAATATGATAACATGTATTTTAAATTGTAGATTTTAGATAATTCAACATGTATTTTAAATTGTAGATTTTAGATAATTCATGCATATTTATGAAGTAAGATTCTCATTTGCTCACATTATTACGATGAATAGATACTCAGAACTCCACAATCTTGCCTATAATTCTTTACAGCATTAAACAGAAACACATCAATAAGCTTTGAAAATGGATTTTATATAGGTTGTCATGTTGACATTTTCAACGAATGAAAATTAAGAATAAAACTAATGGAAAAGGATTAAACCCAGGAGGTGAAATACATGTCAATAATTTGATTATCACAAAGGAAAATTTTGAGAAAAATAACAAGAGACTTCCCACTTTTTATGGAAAAAAACAAGGAATATTTACTCATTCAGCTTTTGCAGGTATCATTATTTGTCTTAGATTCTTTATTGAGGAGAAAATTCTGGAGTTGTTCATTCAATTACATATCAATTGATTTATGTTTTTGTACCAAAAAGATATTTTGGTTAAAAAAATATGTTTTAGGGTTATTCACCCATATGCCCCCTCCATCCACAACCACACCAAAAAGGAAAGAGAAAATGAGAAACAATAAAAGTGTTCATGTTTTTATTTGCACTTCTTTCAACACATTTCATTTTTGGCTTTTTGGTTGATAAAAAAAATACAGAAAAATTATAGAAATATTCTTTAATCATACATTAAAAATTATACATTCCATTTTCAATTTGGGTCATTTTTTAATGTATACCCATGTGCAGTTTTGCAATTGTTATGTTTTGTATAGACAAAAATATATTAATGTGTTCCATATGAACTTAGACAATCATTTATATTATTTAGCATCTTCAGATACCCACAAATAATTTCTATATGCATGCATTCATTAATTATATGAACAGAGTGAGCAAAAATCAATCAACCATGGCTATTGGAAGATGGTTTTACAAAAAACGTGCAGTAAATATTTTACAAAGATCAATGGTGAATTGAGAATGGTTCTATGGTTACTTTGTTGACGTATGTTTATTTTTAAAGGGACATCACGTGAAAAGGCGTTTTTTTTTAATGAATGTATGTATTGTATGCACTTCCACTTATGTTACCACGCTATCCCCATATTCATAGTCCGTTCCAAATGTCCAGTTTGACCACTTGAATTGTTCGGGAAAGCCCTGCTAAAAATAGCGCCGATAACGTCACCTGACTAGGCAGTAAACACAAGTGGT